TAACGCGTTCCTGATTTTGGCATAATAACTAGTTACCGTGCTCGTTACCACAATAATAACGTAGTTACTGTAACGTGTTACTTAATAACGCGTTAGTCCCAACACTGCACATCAATGACATAGAGGTATTATGTCTGTAGCCTAGCGCAGCCTTGAAACTTTCTTCTCTTTGTTGCTCCTGTCATGATGATGAGGAACATACTGCTCTCCTATGAAGTCTGACAGACATCCACCATCACATGAACTCCATTATTTATTTGTTTGTTTTTTTGTCTTGGTATCCCAGAGCAGCAACTTCCAGTCGCCTTTGTTAATCTAGGTTCTGATTGGAAACAGATATTTGTGACATATTTGTAAGATAGCCAATGCTCAGTTTATGTGATTGACACTGAAGATATTTACACAGAGGAGCACATTGATAATATTCATCAGCTAACAGTAAAGATTTCGGATGAACCAAACTAGCCAGATGTGGTCAAGTGCTGATCCAGATCTTTGGTGACCTACCAAGCCCTGATGATGCTGCTGTTTGCTTGTCTGTTACAACCATTCAAGCCGTGGCTCAGGAAGACATCGGTAATGAGTTGGTTCAGAGATACTTAAAAGAACTAGGTGCGAGGTAGTGGTGAAGCAAGTTTTTTGAGTGTTATTCAGAGTAAGGTCCAAAAACCTCAACATAACCCCAACACTCACAATGACACCCAACTAAGAATAGTGGCACATCCCCCCAACACTGTAACTATTGATCAATTGATCATGGTGAACCTACCTACAGTGCACCTTCCAGTGCTGTGGTGGAACTTGATAGTATTGATCTCACTCTACTAAACCCAACTCAGCTCTAGAAGCTCTTGGTCAACACAAACCAAATCACGCACCTTTGCTGGCCACACTCCCTCTCCCACTGGTGAGGTAGACTATGAAGCATGACAGACTCAAGTAGATCTCCTTCTTCGTGATTACCTTTATAATGATGAACAAAAGATGAGTAAATACTTTGAAGGTTGCTCAGTCCAGTTGCAAAAGTTGTTAAGCTTCTTGGTATGAACTCCCTACCCACTGCTTATATTAATCAGCTTCAATTAATATAAGCAATTTAGTGTTGTAGAGAAGTGTTGTTTGCAGCATTTCTCAGATCCAATCAGAATAGTGAGGAAAAACTGTCAGCATTCTTGAAAATACCCCATCATTGCAAACAAGGAGGGGCTCATAGCTGATCCCCGACTTAATCCCACCCCATCTTGCATCCATCTGTTACTTCTACCGCACGCGACACTGTAGTTTCACTGCTCTCTTACATATTAATCTTACATACTTCTCTGCCACTCATGGCTTCTTCACGCGATACAACAGTTCCTCTCGTGATACCCTACCATATACTTTCTCCACATCTACAACACCTCCCGACCTCTCATGATCCTGTCTGACATTCACTTCACTTCTACAACAGTATACACATACTCTTAGTTTGAATCCATCTCCAGTGCTCTTGGCCTTGCTTCTATTCCATCTACTCTTTTGCACACAATACATCTATCTTCTTCATTATATCCTCCAGCTCTCTCCCTTTACCAGCCATAGTTGTAACCAGCCTACATTTAATGTTGCCTCTACACTCCTGCTTTTTTCTTCTATCTTGCTGCCTCCTAACACACCTTCCCTCTATCCTCATCCTCCAGCTTCTACCAGACTGATCTAGTATGGAGATTTAACTTGCTTTAACCTTCATATCTGCTGAGTCTCCTTGTTAAACTGTGTTTAATCAGTTATTAAGAAGTAAAATAAAATGATAAATTTTCTGATAATATTTTTCACCACATTTTGTGCTGTTTGACTAGTTGTATCGACTGTGCTGGAGCCTGAGGAACTGTACAGAGGAGAGGGTCGATCTTGAGATGGATGATTGGACTGATAACCAAGATTCCAACAGTGTGGACTCAGACGGTAATGAGCTGACATACGCAGCAGAGTAAAATATAGCACAGTAAATATGCATCTATACATATAAACAAATACATGCAGACTTTCGTTTGTCTTGTTTCTTCTTTTGCAGATGATAAGCCTGGCTTCTTGAAGAAAGCGGTGATGTGCTTCTGCGGCCTGGAAACCAAAAAAGCCCCCAAGCTGACTAAAGAAGAGGAGGAAGAGCTGCAAAGGAAGCTGACAGACACCTCAGAGGTGCCTCTGTGGAGGAACGTAGTCAATGTCAACGCCATCATCCTTCTGTGTGTGGCTGTGTTCTGTCATGCCTATTTTGGCTAAGAGAGCTTTTTTCAACTGCTCTCTGACTCTCTAATTTATACCTCTCTGACCTGTCTTCCCCATGTGATGTTTTGTGTAATGTATGTATGGTCGAAGGGTAAGATGGCGCCGCCATTGCGTGCAATATGAAATTTCCCCTTGTGGGACTAATAAAGGTATATCAATCAATTAATTTATACAAATTTAACAGACTGCTCAATAGGCCTCAGCCCTAAAACCCTGTTTAAACCTTATATGTTTAGAGCACTGTGCTTGTCTTCATCGCTTCTTGATATTTAAATGTTTAAGTGAACCAGTAGACAGTACTGTAATAATACAGTGGTATGCAAAAGTTTGGGGACCCTTGATAATTTTCATGATTTTCCTTCATAAATTATTGGTTGTTTGGATCAGCAATTTCATTTAAATATATCATGTAGGAGATGAACACAATGATATTTGAGAAGTTAAATGAAGTTTATAGGATTTACAGAAAGTGTGCAATAGTTACTTAAACTAAACTAGGCAGGTGCATAAATTTGGGCACCCTTGTCGTGATTTGAATACATTCAGCACTAATTTTTGGAACATAAAACTTGTTTGGTAAGCTCATTGACCCTTGACCTACATACACAGGCGAATCCAGTCATGAGAAAGGATATTTAAGGTGGCCCATTGCAAGTTTTTCTCCTCTTTGCGTCTTCTCTCAAGAGTGGCTACATAGGAGCCTCACAACAACTCTCAAATGACCTGAAAACAAAGATTGTTCAATATCATGGTTTAGGGGAAGTGTACAAAAAGCTACCTCAGAGATTTCAGCTGTCAGTTTCCAATGTGAGGAACATAGTGAGGAAATGGAAGACCACAGGGACAATTCTAGTTAAGGCCGGAAGTGACATCTCAAGGAAAATCTTACATAAGTAGAGGCAAAGGATGGTGAGAATAGTCATAGCCACCCCACGCACCAGCTCCAAAGACCTACAACATCATCTTGCTGTAGATGGTGTCACTGTGCATCGTTCAACTATTAAGCACACTTTGCACAAGAAGATGCTGTATGTGAGAGTAATGCAGAAGAAGCCTTTTCTGTGCACATGCCACAAACAGTCGTTTGAGGTATGCTAAAGCACATTCGGATAAGAAAGGTTAATTTTGGAATAAGGTGCTGTGGACTGATGAAACTAAAATTTAGTTATTTAAGCATAACCAGAGGCGGTATGCATGGAGGAAAAAGAACACAGCATTCCAAGAGAAACACTTGCTAGCCACAGTAAAATGTGGTGGCGGTTCCATCATGCTGTTGGGCTGTGTGGCCAGTGCAGGGACTGGGAATCTTGTTAAAGTTGAGGGTGGCATGGATTCCACTCAGTATCAGCAGATTCTGGAGACCAATGTTCAAGAATCAGTCACAAAGTTGAAGTTGCGCCAGGGCTGCATATTTCAACAAGACAACGACTTTGAACACTGCTCAAAATCTAAGACATCCAGGCAGAGGATCAAGTACAACATTCTGGAATGGCAATCTCAGTCCCCAGACCTGAATATTATTGAAAATCTATGGTGTAACTTAAAGGGGGTTGTCCATGCTCGGAAACCATCAAACCTGACTGAACTGGTTATGTTTTGTTGGAGGATCTACCAAATGTTATGTAAATTTAGTTTAAGTAACTATTGCACACTTTCTGTAAATCCTATAAACTTCATTTCACTTCTCAAATATCATTGTGTTCATCTGCTATATGATATATTTAAATGAAACTGCTGATCCAAACAACCAATGATTTATGAAGGAAAATCATGAAAATGATCAAGAGTGCCTTGATACCTTGCCCTGTGTCATGTATTACTGCTAATGTTCATGTGATCCATTCCCTTCTCTGTCAGCTAATTCAAACGGCTCTACACTCTTGCACTTATAAATCTCTGTATTCTGTATCATTACTACTGTATCAGTGTTGCAATTATTATATTTGAAAAGCACTCTCCTTTTTTTTTTTTTAACTCTTTGAGGTATTTGAAAGCTTAAGTGAAGTAAACTGTGCTGTAACATAATAACACATATTAGACCTCAATCAAGTTTAGGTAATTTATAAATATTTGCACATTTATATGTTATCTATATTAACGGTAACTTTACAAAAGATCTTAAATGGAGCTGCAGGTTTGTCTTCACTCCAAAACAATTAGTGGAAATCTACGATTTTATTTTTCATGAATTATAATGGATGAGACTTAACATTTTCAGACATAATTTAATTGAAAGTTTTGTGTTTAAATGCTTCATTATTGCTCGTGTGTAAAAGGAATTGTTACATAACTTTAAATGGAGCTTTATATTTAGCCACTCTAAAGAAGGTCTCTCCACTCCACAGCAATCTGTGCATGTTTAGATTTACTATTCACCACAAAAATGGTTCAAATGTTTATCCCAAAATAAACTTTCATAAAGTTTCTTTTACTTAAAAACTAAGGAAACAAACATTTTTAACACGATCTGTGTGAGCTTAGTGCCATGTGGCTCGTGAAGCTGTTACTTTAGAGACACCTGTTGCTTGCTGATAGTACTTGCTCCTTTTTACAGAGGTTCACTTCATAGATCATATCCCTAAGTTGACTTTGTGATGGAGATCAGCACAAAACTACAAAGTAAGAGATATTTATTTTGTTCTGCATAAGTCTCCCTCTTTTTTAGGGCTTTATTTTTACTTACAAATTTATATTTATGTTCTTTTAATGGAAAAAGATGAAGATCTGTCTTTGATGTTTTGAGAGAGATCGATAGATCTATTACTCAATTTATAAAAACATTTTTGGAATTGGATAAATATTAGAAAACAAATAGATGGATGGTTACACTGTTATGTGAAGGCTGTGTGCAGGCAGGAATGGTGGACCCAAAATGCAGACGCTCGGAGACACAACGTGAATTCAAAACAGCTTTAATGCTGAACTCAAAGTAACAAACTTCCAAAATACAAACATTAATGCAGGCAGCAAAACACACAGCATGGGTGAGGGTAGATAAGAGTAGATTGCAACACAGACACAGAGAAACACAGGGCTTAAATACACAGAGGGAGCAATCAGGGAATGGGCAACAGGAGAGAAACACAGCTGGGGCAACTCAGGCCTAACGAGACAAAGGAAGCAAAACCAGATCGCATTTACATGACACACGGACTTTCAAAGTAAAACAGCAAACATAACACAGAGACCGAACTTGACAAGGGGATACAGCTGACAGGGGAGACAGAGCCAGTGTTGCCAACTTAGCGACTTTGTCGCTATATTTAGCGAGTTTTCAGACCCCTTAGCGACTTTTTCTAAAAAAAGTCGCTAAAAAAAGACGTGAAAGCGCGTATGCTTTTACTCTCAACAAGCAGCGGGTGCTGTAACGCAGTCAGTTCTTCTTTTACTCTTTTACTCTTATGCTGTTTTGTGGATCACAAGGTTTAAAACTACTTATAAACACACACACACAAAGTAACTCCACCAGAGTGCCTATTTCGGGTCACTTTTGCCGGTCCAAGCCCGGGTAAAGGAGCAGGGTTGGAATTGTGACATTAAAAAAAACAATAATTGCTAAAAGAAATTTAATTTGTAGTTCTAAATAAACTCTAAATGCATTTAGGACGTTTTTTACTCACTTTATGTCTCTTCCACGATGTTGTTTCTCTCTCCAACAACATAGGTTACAATTAGATTAGCATGACCAATTATGCAAATTAGGCGATGACGTCATTTAGCGACTTCTAGCGACTTTTAGGACAACCAATAGCGATTTTCCTTACTGAGGAGTTGGCAACACTGGACAGAGCAACTAGAGAACAAAGAGACATAAACCATAAGACAGAACTCTAACAAAGAAACCAAAGACTAGAAATGATAAATAATATAATAAACTCAAAACCCTGGGTCAACGACCCAGGCATCCTAACATACACATTTAAACTTAAATAAGAAACTTTTTTTTTGCTGCTACAGCTTTATGTTAGCCTGCTGTTATCAGAGAATGATAAGATGAAGGATTTGTATGCTTTACTTGACTGTTTTATTGCACTTATCAGAAGGTAAAACACCTGTAGGTAAACAATGTTGTGAACAAAGACCCTTCCTGATTTTCTTATTGTAATATTTATCAGACTCTCATATTTCAGATCATTAAACACGTTTTTTTATATTCAAATACAAATAAACATAAAAATGTAATTTTTAATTCATTAACCACATCTATTAAACATCCAAGTTCAATATCACAAGCCACAACCAGGCCTCATTACACCTGCTACACCTTCTGAATCAAGAAATCACTGAAACAGAACCCGTCTGTCAAAATGAAGCAGTCTGAAAGATCTCAAACATCACGCCATGACCTAAAGAAACTGAAAAACAGATCAGAAGCACAGTAAGTGACATCTATCAGTCTGTAAATTGGCAGGCTGGACTCAAAGGCAGGACTCTGACAACAGGGTAAATTAAGCTATTTAGCAGATAAACTATTTACAGCAGGAATTAATCCACAGTCTATTCACCAGATCTAGCTCTAACTATAAACTTTATCAAAAAGAAAAGTTTCAAGTCTAATTTTGAAAGTAGGGAGGGTGTCTGTCTCCTGAATCCAAACTGAGAGCTGATTACACAAAAACCTTCTGAGCTGTCCCACCATCTCTATTCACACTAGCCACCAGGCTGTTACTGTAGAGACACGGCAGACATTGCCAGCTTACAGCCAATCCTCCTGAGGTGGTCCATCACCGCCGAAGTTGACCCGTAGTCAAGTTCCATCTCTGACGCTGTCCAGGCCCCATAACTGTTCTACAGCCTTGCACCTCACCAGTGTTTGACTTTGCAGTGCTCTGTTTCTTGTTTTTGTTCACTTGAGCCTACGAGGTAGCTCTTCTGTGTTTGTAACCCTCTTCAACACAAGTTGTTTTGTTTCCCTGATGTATAATTTACAAGATTTGTAAATTGGCATTTAACAGTGTACACTAGGGATGGGAATCAAGAAAGAAACAGTTGCATTATGGACAACTTTGGTTCTTTGCAAACATCTGCTGTTTTTTACAGGATGGGTAAAACACTGATGAGCAGTCAGGCTGGTGCCTCCATTTCTACCTATTCATGTTTCCACTGTAGAATCACCACCACAGCTACAGTCTCACACCACACACTTGGGAGTGTGTGGTGTGAGACTGTAGCCTCAGGGTTATATATTTTTAAATGATAATTATGAGACAATGTGTTTCAGTTATTTTACATAGTAACATGAAAGTAATGTAGCGAGTAGTGTAATGAAGTACTTCTCATTTTTCCCAACACTGATCATAGCAAAGAGGGGAAATACCTCCAACAATGTGTTATCCCACATTATCTGAATGATATCGACATTCAAAATAAATAAGACATTAGTTTAATAAGCAGAGAGCATATAGACCAACTGAACATGATTAATGGGGATAAAAAAATTCAATTTAGAAGCCATTTGATTTGGCAATTGGACTCCAATGACCCAACACAGCAGAACAGAATAACTGTTTATATTCATGGACTAGAGGAACAAGCATTGAGTTTGGCAGTGTGAGAAAGAGGAAGTGATGTAAAGAATACAACTGCAACTGAACACACGGGAATACAAACAAATGAGTGATAACAGATCTTTCCTAATTGAACTTAAGCTTAAGCTTCATTTATTGCAACGGTGACACTGAGCTTTTGAGAACGAAAAGCTCTTTGTCAAATGTTTTTAAAGGTGGCCTGGATTATATCTATGCTTAAAAAATATAAGAGATTATTTAGCATATGCTCGCTTGAGATGCTGTGCAACAGAACTTTGTGGCTACGACGTTCTCCCGTTTACAGCTGCACACTGACTATTTTTCGCAGCAGAAAAATGTCCAGCATGTCACAGTAGCACAGTATCAGTAGCATTGGTATCAGGTGATTTTTGCGTACACATGTCATGATCTCTAAGCAAACAGTAAACAGCAAACAGCTTTCTTAAAGCGAAATGAATGAGATTTATGAAGCTGAACTCCAACTCTGTTCAGGTTCAGGTTCCTTGGAGTACATCTGGCTGAGGATCTTACGTGGTCAGTACACACAAACAAAACAGTGAAGAAGGGCAGCAGCGCCTCTTCTTTCTCAGGAGACTGAAAAGATTCGGCATGAGCCCCCGCATCCTCAGGACCTTCTATCACTGTGCCATTGAGAGCATCCTCACTGGATGCATCACCACCTGGTATGGCAACAGCACCGCCATATTAGTACACATCCAGAAATGCATATACTATTATATATTGTACATATATTTATTAGTTTCAGATGTAGCCATTCTTGTATTTTGCTTGTTTACATTATTGTATTTTGCACAACTCTGTTGCTTGTGAAGCTCGCACACAAGAATTTCACTCACATGTGCTGTACCAATGTACCTGCACATGTGATGTGACAATAAAAGTGATTTGATTTGATTTGATTTTGATTTGGTTTTACTATCTGCACTTGTAAAATAATTTCACATGGGTTCAGATTTGTGTGCGAGTTGGAGCATGTATTTATGAGTGCTCAATAGTTAAACACAAATCATTGTACAGATTTATAAATCTTAGTTTATGCTTGTGGATCATATCATAACTAACTGAAACTAATTTAAATCCATAATCAAACATTGTCCTTGATGTGCAAATTATGAGTGTGACAAGTTATCAGTGAATGTGTTTAATAGCAATGCTTATTTTACTGATGGGCATAGGTGTCAAAATCCAAACAGATTAGACTGGATCAATTGGACTGAATTAAATTTTAGCTATAAGTCATTGCAATGCAAATATTACCTGTAGGGTTTTGTTTTTACAAACCCTGGTGTATTTACTTGAGGTATTCCCTTTGTTATGGCCCTGTCCATAATCTGTTTTGGTGGCTGTTGTTGTCTGTGCCTTTAAGTCTTTGCAGGTCCCGGAGTGGATGAGCTGACAGCTGCTGATTGGTCCCCTGGCCATGCGATCTTCAAAGCCCTCACCAGCAGTTGTCCTGGGGCAACCACTGACAGCAGCAGCAGACCTGATCCTGGCCTCCAAAAACCTGAGACTTTTGTGCCTGTGATTTTTGCGGCTTTTCTGAGTTTTGTATATAGTGTGTACATTAGTTTTCACTGTAAATAGCACATTGTAAATAGCACTGCAACAGAAGGGGTGAGCTGCCTTATTGTTTTTCCTTGCACTGTTTTCTCCTGTTTATTTCAAGTTAGGGAGTTAGGTGTAGCGCTTGTCTTTTGTTTGATGTTTGATTTCACATAGGGCTTTAGATAGCACCTCCTCCTGACTTAGCTTGTTTTGTTTGTTATTTTGGCCTTTGTTCACCCCGGAGCTTCATTTTTGCAGTGTAGATAATAAATCACGATTCACTAAGAAATTTGTTTCCCTCTGTGTATGGTTTTGGGGAAAAGGGTGGGGCAATCTTTTCAAACTTGTGTTGCGTTCCTGTACCCCTAGACTGGGACGTAATAATTAACAATATTATTTGGTAAACAGTTAAACATTTTAACACATTTTTCAGGTCAACATTGTTGAATCAGTAACATTCTTTAATTATATTATTATTAGAATCTTTAATTATGGCAGATTTGGCCATGCTACATGCAGTCCTATTCCCATTGTTAAACACCTCTAAACACATAGCTACAGTTCTTTCAGGCACAGGGGTTATAATCACTGGACTTAAGTCTTTAGAAACAGAGTCAGTAGAACAATAATAATCTCTTTTACTAGGCAAATTGGAAACAAAACCCTCCTAATTCAGCTCTGCTGGATTGGCGGTACATGGAACTGATATGGAACCTATAGTCAGTACTATTTTAGTCTCAGCTCTCTCGGTTCTCAAGAGAGCTGGTGGCAAGAAGCCGCCATTACTCATCCCCGCTGTTTGATCCGGCAGCGTGGTGCAGAGGAAGCCGCTGGGTAGCCGACTCCTCATTCCCAGCTCACATTCTGGCCAGAAACATGGCCGGGCAAACCTGCTGCTGCGGCAGGGTGATGACTGGAAACCTGGAAGGCAGTAATGGGGAGGAGCCTCAGGGTGCTGACCTTAATCGCTGGGATGCCAGAAATACAAAACGAAACTGAACTGGAATACAGAAACCTAAACCAAACACACAGAGAAACACATAGCCATGAGGGAGATGGCAACACAGGACAGAGTGAGACGCAGACATGAATGAGCACGAGGGAAAACGAGCGAACAAACCACGGGAGGGAACACAACTGAACATGATCTAACTAACCAGACAGACAGCTGTCACAATAAAACAGGAAACACTGAGACGTAGACTGACACGAGCTTGACAACAGGACATGGAACAGACATGAAAACTTAGAACAGACTGGGGAGACGAGATGGGAAAAAAGGAGAGAAACTCTGGAACAGGTAAGGGAGACAAAACAGAGACACCTCTAAGACTGCAAGAGCAACAGAGAGGTAGAGAAAACACAAGACAGAGGTCGAGCGAGCGAGAGAGGGCGAGGGAGGGCGAGGGAGAGCTGATGGGCTGGGGAAACATGGGTAAACATGCCAGACAGGGGAGACATGGAATGAACACAAGGAGGGGGAACTTGACAACAGAAAAGGAAAACAAGACACAAGGATACACATAAACAAAAAACACACAGAAGACAAAGACACAAGGGCAACCTAAATAGACAAGAAACTAAAACATAGAATAAACTCAAAATTACTAAATAAACCTGAATAAAGACCAACCAACCAGAATACAAAATTGACACCAAAACAAAAGAACTCAAAAACACTTTGTCAAATGACCCAGGATCATGACAGTTACACATTTTAACACATTTTTCAGGTCAACATTCTTGAATCAGCAACGTTCATATGTGCATCCACCTTCAGCCAACTGGAGTATGTGTTAATGTCTTAGACAAGCCCACTCTTTGTTTTCCCTTCTTTTACATCTACACTATCTACGCCTCCTGCTTTCATCTCCCTCTCACATGCACACCAAAGGTTATAAAGGTAATCGCTTTCTGTAAACGCTTCAAACAGAGCCGACTCAAACAACACTGCTGTTGTCTGTCTCAGCTAAAATGTCTCAAGATTATTCTTATTTTGGATTCTCTTACATAAACAGAAATGCAGAAAATGATGCAAAAAACACCACGGCTCTTAATAATGCTGCAGATATCTCTGTTATTGTGGTGTACTTCCTGGTCGTCTTGGCAGTTGGAGTTTGGGTAAGTTTTGCAATCACTTTTAAAACCAATTTCTCTGCAATTCCTCAATAATTTTATAAACTGTTTCCAGCTAAGAAGATTTAGTATAGTTTGTATGTTAATGTGTCCTAATGTGTCTTACACCCCTGATTCTAAAAAAGTCAGGACACTGTGTAAAACGTAAATGAAAGCTAAATGCAATGATTTGAAAATCTCATAAATTCATATTTTATTTCTAGTGGAAATTTCAAATTAACCTGAAAAAACATGTACCATTAAAAAAAATCCTAATTATGAATTGGATGGAGGAATTTTGTCCCATTTTTGTCTAATAATATAGGATTCTAGCTGCTCAACACTTTTGGGTGTTCCTCATATTTTTGCCTAAATGGTTTGAGTTGGTGAAAGGTCTGGATTAATGCCAGGGCAGATCAGTCTTTTCTACTATGAAGATATCCTGTTGTGATAGATGCAATGAGCATTGTCTTGCTGGATAATACAATGCTCTCACTGAAAAAGATGTCATCTGGATGGGAGCATATGTTGCTCTAGAATCTGCACATACAACACCTTGCAGCATTAAAGGTTCCTTTACAGATGTGCAAGCTGCAACGGCATAAGAAGCAAGTCACCCTCATACCGTCGAGTGACTGAGTGCTGTTAACAAGCCATGTTTTTCTTCTCCTCTTTAGTCTGGATGTCTTTGTTCCTTCAATGTAGTCTGTTACAGTTTTGCACATATTTAAGGATTTTCTAAAAATGTGCCTTTGTCCTGTTACAGTCTATGGTCCACACTAACAGATCCACTGTAGGTGGCTTCTTCCTTGCAGGGAGGAGTATGGTATGGTGGCCGGTGAGTATCTTTATATTTAGAATTAGATCCTTTACAGTATTCTTCCTGCATTTAGAGCCATTAACAATTTTTTATTGCTGTGTAATAAAATGTGATGTAAGCTATCATAAAAGAAGCATTTTATGGCACGGTGGTGGTTATCATGGTCATGTCACAGCGAAAACGTCCCCAGGTTCAAATCTTGACATGCAATTTAGGATAGCTGATCCTTCTACATGGACCATGGATGTGAGATAGATAATGTGCTGTATGAATGTGTGGTTAAAATATGCCTGCAAGTCTAAAGCATGTTGAATGCAGGGGCTTTTCCCAGGCACCTGGTTTCATCTCATAAACCTAAAAAATGCATGTTAGGTTCATTAGTGATTCTATACTGACCGTCGATAAATGTGATGTAAATGTGATGTATGATTGGGTTTGGTTACTAGTCTAGTTTTGAATGGAGATTAAGAACAGTAACGTCCCATATAAATATGATTTATGGAGTTATTTGAGATTAACAAACTATCTTAATTACTTCTGAGTAATCAAATGTTTAAATCATTTAATATTTACACAATATACTGAGAATATGGGCTAGCATAAAAAGTAGGGGTGGGAGTCGATTAAAAAAAATAATCTAATTAATTAGAGGCTTTGTAATTAATTAATCTTGATTAATCACATTTAATCGCACAAGAAGTTCAAATGTTTTTTAATTTTAAAGGGTTTTAGTGGACGACAGAAGAAATATTAGACATTGACATGAATATTGTCAACTGAAGCTCTTTTAATTTATGGGAAAAAAGGATTTAAACTGTATTTAAATGCAAAACAGAAAAAATAATAATATCCTTGGCCAAAACTGGACACACTTAAAAGTAGAGTTATTTTAAGTACTTTAAGTACATTTTTCAAAAAGGTATTGTCTTTAAATAATAATAATAATAACAATTTCAACATAAAGTGGAGTTTTAATTCTTAAAAAAAAATAAGGCAGAAACATAAGGATTATTTATTTGACCAGCTTCACCTTTAAACTCTGAGTAACCTTAACCAACATTATTTTGTACATTAGGCTAAAACAGTGTGGTCATCGAACATTTTAGTGCAAAAAATAACAAACTCACTGGACTCACAATACCTCCATGCTTATTTACTGTCCACCTCTATCAGCCAGTTACTTAGGAAAAAACTAGCCTGTTTACTTTTTCAGAGCTCAAAGCAGTTCTCTTTTTTGTTACAATGTAACCTGGAAGTGAGAACATTCTCTCACATGGGACAGAAGTGGCAGGACTAATCAAATACTTGCAGGCCAGGACTGGGTTCATCCCTGCTCGACCTGACCACCAGTCTGTCTCGCTGATGGTGATTTTCTGCTCTGTACAAACTCAGGGCCCTGTTGCACAGGGCTTCCTCATCTGAATCTGGAGCACAATTTCTAACGCCACTGATAGTGGTCTACAGTCCAGAGCAATCCATTTTGCGAGAGAATTTGTACGTTTGTCCGATGTTGACTTACTAATTTCGGTCCCGAAACCAGTCATTTCATCAATTTTGGGCTACTGACACCCTTTGTTGGTAGTCGAACTGCTAGCACTAACAGCTCCCACGGTTTCTGTGCTCGCTGCAACATGTTTTGCATTTAGATGGTACCGTAAGGTTGAAGTGCTTCGGTGGTATGCAAAGTCCCTTTTGTGCTTTCTTCTGATTCTTCCATTTTTGTAACTGTGTGCATCAGTGTAATTGGTATACAAGGAAATTGTGCATTGGTAAAAGTTCTCCTTTGATTCCACTTTGAAATTAATTAATCGCAATTCACAAGTTAAATTCCCACCACTAATAAAAAGCATAACCAAGTTGATTCTTGAATGAAGTCTCCTTAATTTACAAATAGACCTACTGACAGATTGAACTGTGCTCTCCACAGATCGGAGCATCGCTGTTTGCCAGCAATATTGGCAGTGTCCATTTTGTAGGAATCGCTGGTACTGGCGCAGCTGCAGGAATAGCCATTGGTGGATTTGAATGGAATGTGAGTAACTGTTCCTGAGCCACTCATCAATTATCACTTGTTATATAGAAGAATTTCTCACCTCTGATACTGAATCAGTTCATGTCAGCTCCTGGTTTACTGATTTTTATGAGCGCTCCATTGTGCAGAGAAAAAAGGATGAAAGGAAACAGGGTTCCTGATTATTGCATATCTGTGTGTTTCAGGCTCTTTTTGCGATTGTTATCCTGGGATGGATCTTTGTGCCCATCTACATTAGAGCTGGGGTAAACAAAAGCCCTCATATATATATTTATTTACCCTTTCTAAATAAGCAATGATTAATGAGTAAAATCTCATGTTTTGTGGATGTATTTAGATCATCACCATGCCTGAGTACTTGAAGAAGAGGTTCGGAGGACAGCGCATTTGCATTTATCTCTCTCTTCTCTCCCTTGTCTTGTATGTCTTCACCAAAATTTCAGTAAGTTCCTGAAAGAAAAGCAGAGAATATTTCTATTGTGCCTGTTTTGGATGATCCTAAATGAAATCCCACTTTTCTTTCCTCCCCATTCAGGCAGACATTTTCTCGGGTGCAATTTTCATCCAGCAGGCCTTTGGGTTGAATATCTACCTCGCTGTTATTGCACTTCTGGCGATTACGGCACTGTACACTGTCACAGGTTTGTACACGGGGAAAAAATCATTTCCTATTTTACTGAACTTACAAACCGACATTTTCCTCATAAACTACCCAAGAAGCAATATCTACAGTTATATTATGACTGGGGTAAAGACTTCTCAAAGCCGTACGTGGAGATGTAGACACACGCCACAAACACACCACACACACACACACACACACACACACACACACACACACACACACACGACGACCACCTCACACACATAATTGCTTTCTGTCTTCAATGTTGGTTTATCTTTGCTGAGTTGCTGTGGTTGATTGCCCATGGACTATGATAAGCCTGAATTGGCCTTCTGTTGCTGTTTTGTAACAACACATCCACAATTACAAGTTTTAAAGAATGAGTAGTTACATAATGACATGATGAGTTTATTGAAGAGGATTTTTTTTCAAAAGTGTATCTATTAGTCTGATAAAATCTCAAGTGATGAAGTGAAGATTTTCACAGACTGATAACATCATATATTTTATCCAAGGTGGACTGGCAGCAGTGATCTACACGGACACTTTACAGACCTTTATCATGCTTATTGGATCATTCATTCTGATGGGCTTTGGTAATATGAAAAATTTTACATACAAATTATTTGTTGGAAAGTTACAAAAATAAATAATAATGTTGATCTAACTTGCACATGATTTTCCTCAGCTTTTAATGAAGTGAAGGGATATGAAAACTTTGAGAAACTCTACATGCAAGCTATCCCCTCAATCACGGGTAACATCAGTGCAAACTGCTATGAGCCCCGGCCAGACTCCTTCCATCTCTTCAGGGATCCAGTTACAGGAGACCTCCCATGGCCTGGTCTCGTGTTTGGACTCACTATTCAGTGCATCTGGTACTTTTGCACTGATCAGGTGAGTTAAGCAAATAAGTATTGGGCAGCTCAACTGCAGTTTTCAGCAACCAGTCTGTAGTCAAAAACCGAGACAAATTCAACTGATTGCCTCGGTGTGTTCATATATTCATACTAAATTCTACAATTTCTATATGAACAGATCTATTGAAAGAAATTCATGTTCAAGGTGTTGAAAATGCAGATAGATTCTTGGATCCATCTATGAGTAAACAGGGTGAAGCAGAAATGAGGAGGACCTGGGCTGCATGAATAGGAATCATAAAGGCAGAATGACAGACAAGCACTGAGATTTAAAGTATGCAGAGAGGGGAGTAGCAAGGATAGTATGTATTCTGCCCTCACTGCTACACTGGATACAGTTATGCAGATAGATAAACTCCTCGACAACTGACAGGTGTATCGTCCCTTTTATTGACACTGCCTTCAATTATCAACAGAGTGAAACTACAAACAGAAGAAAATAAGCAATATTCAGTCTATATATTCACACGATAATGCAAATCAGTTGACTAAACTAACATTGGAAAGAAAGTAAATCTGAATACAGTACACCTTTAACCATAAAAGTGCATAAATAATAGCAAATATAGTTGCATTAACTCTTGTTCAACTTAAATACTCACAAGCGATGCTTTCTGTAAAACAACGAAGAGGATGGATGCAGGTGTTTATCTGAACAACATGCTGAGTCAGTCTTTTCTCAAAGTGTGCTGCATTACTAACTCTACAGCTAATAACAAACAAATCTTGGCATGAAAGAACTGTAGTGACTCTTGCTGGTGGGAAGAAGAACTACACCAGCACAGTATGGCGTTATTTTTGTGCCACTATTCTGAGCGCACGTAAAAAAAAATTGCAAGTGTAGATGATGCATTTTGAGGAGAAATTTATTTTGAGCGAAGAAAAGCTCAATTTGAGTGAACAAAATTCATTGCTGTGTGCAAAAAATGTATTTCAGTGTTTGCTATTATCCATACACACACACACAATGGCAGCCCCTCTCACTCGGTTTTTGCATTTGCGCTTGCTCGCAACATGTTGCTTGCGCTCTCAACATTTCTGCCCGTGCGCGTTCAACTCTTTCTGTACACCGTTATATTTGTGCCACAAAACCAGCCAATCACAGACTTGACTCACAAAAATTCTGATTGGCTGTTTTGGTCTCCAATCAGCTCGAAATGACGAAATGCAATATCCCAGAATCTATTTTGTCCAAAATTCAAACAAGGCAGTGGCGGAGGAACACAGAGTGGCGGAGTTTGAAATATTAGTCTTTCTGATCACAAAATAAACTTTTAAGATATTTTCATGCGAGAATGGTGCTGTGTAAACTCCAAATATCTGCTCGATTTATCAAGACATCACATATTTGCATAAGTGCTCTAATGTTTTCGGAAATGCCTGTTACCCTCCAGCTGACCGCAGAGCTGGACTGGCCATTGGGCATACCGGGCATTTGCCTGGTGGGCCATGGTGATTTTTCATTTTTATGTTTGTTTGTTTTTTAAAAACGGTATAAACAATGAAAGGTGATGGATTAGCCAGTTGGTCATGATCAACTCTGGGCTGGACCAATTACAATACATCTGTATTGAGGGGAAAAGGAACAAGTTAAGTCCTTTAGCTAGAATGAAAAAAGACACAAAGCTGGAGTTATTCAGTGTTTTTGCTGCACAACTGAGTGTTCTCCCCTCATTCACCCCCCTCCCTCTCCTGTTGCTACTTCAATCATGAAACTGATCAATGATCAGCTGATCGGTTCTCAGTCCTTTTTGTTTGTTTATCGCCCACTTTGCACCAGAAAGAGAAACCAGAGGATGTCGCGCTAAACAACAGCAGCACGTTCAAGCTTGATCAGCTGTTGTTAGAATTTATTTAACATTAATTTTTCTAGTATCAGCTGATGTTTGCTGGAGCCACAGCTGTAAAAGCTGCTGCTCATGATATCGGTTTGGAAACATGAAGGTGATACAAATCATACATATATACCAACAAGACAGTGTACATCACTGTCACAACAGCGTTTGTTTTAGTTCAAAGGCTTTATGGTTTTTCCTATAATACCTGGTGGTGTAGTCGGTGATTTTTTTGTCAGTTCAGCCTTATATATTATGTTTAACCCGAGTGACCACCCGGTCAGCTGGTGGGTAACAGGCATCTCCGAAAACGTTAGAGCACTTATGCAAATATGTGATGTCTTGATGAATCGAGCAGATATTTGAAGTTTACACAGCACCATTCTCGCATGAAAATATCTTAAAAGTTTATTTTGTGACCCAGAAAGAGTAATATTTCAAACTCCGCCACTCTGTGTTCCTCCGCCACTGCCTCGTTTGAGTTTTGGACGAAAATGGATTCTGGGATATTGCATTTCGTCATTTCGAGCTGATTGGAGACCAAAACAGCCAATCAGATTTTTTTGCATCCAAGTCTGTGATTGGCTGGTTTTGTGGCACAAATATAACGGTGTACAGAAAGAGTTGAGCGCGCACGGGCAGAAATGTTGAGAGCGCAAGCAACACATTCACAACGCAATGCAAACTGAGCGAGAGGGGCTGCATTGTGTTTGTTTGTTGTTGGATGTGTGTTGTGTGTGGTGTGTGTGTGTGTGTATGGATAATAGCAAACACTGAAATACATTTTTTGCACGCAGCAATGAATTTTGTTCACTCAAATTGAGCTTTTCTTCGCTCAAAATAAATTTCTCCTCAAAATGCAACACTTGCACCTGCAAATATTTTTTAAGTGCGCTCAAAGTTTTTTTTACGTGCGCTCAGAATAGTGGCACAAAAATAATGCCATAGGAGAGGGCAAGGAAAAATGGCTGGACAAGAGCAAGGATGTCAGGACTGATGTGGGAAGTGGATGTAAAGAATAGACCAAATAGAAAAGCAGGTAGATGAGTGATTATAGATCTTCCCTATTAATCTTGTGTGTAAAGTTATCTCATTAACAAAAGATTATTTGAAAGAACTGATCCATGATTTATTAAGACACAGAATTCAATTAAGTTATTTGGCAATTAGACTCAGACGACCGATCATCCCAGATTACAAAGATGACGATTTAAATGAAAACAAGAGTTCACAAAAGAAAAACATAAGAGCCTGGGAAGATCAGTTTGTATAATATAAAGCACATTAAAATTAGCAGCTACATGAAAAAGGAACAGAATATCGTCAACTGATGAAAAGGTCCAGATAGCAAACAGGAAAAAGGGAAGCAGGACAGAAAATGAGCCTGCGATAAAAGCTCAAGGGCCATCAGAGGCCAGCAGAGAGTGATATGAACCTGCAATAAGATTTGTGGGTTGACAGAGGTGAGTAGGAAGAAAAAGGCCTGTAATAAGGCTGGAAAGCTGTTGGAGGCCAGGCCAGAGCCTGCATTAAGGCTGCAATGTTACAGGGGCCAGGAAAGGAGGAGAGAGAGAATTTTGGCTCAAGGCCTGTCAGAGGCCAGAAGAGAGTGTGAGCCTGCGATAAGACTTAAGGGCCATCAGAGGCCAGGATGGAAAGCAGAAAATCTCCAAAAGGCTGAGAGTTCAAGAAAGAAAAGAGAGCCTACAATATCGCTCAAGGGCCAATAGAGGCCAGGAGGAAGAGCACAGAACCTGCAAAAGGCTGAGAATTGACAATGGTCAGGAGATACAAGAGAGTCTGCAATAATGCTGGAAAACCATTTGAGGCAAGGAGAGCAGAGAGAGAGCCTACAAAAGAGATTGTAGACTAATGAAGACCAGAGAACAAAGTACTTGTAAACAGTAATAGAAATTTGAATAAAGGTGGAAAAAGGCTAAAACTCGCTGTATGTCTTCTTACCAAGAATTTAACATTTGAGTGACTTTAACATGAGGAGCAGAAACCACAGATAAAGAAGACATGGATGAAGAGAGAAAACACATGGACGATCGGGGCAATCGTGGCTCAAGAGTTGGGAGTTCGC